TCTCATGACCTTATGTGGCGGAAAAAAGACTTCAGTAGATTAAAATTATGAACGTCAGCTTTTAACGGCGATTAATAACAGAAAAGAAAGAAATTCTTAGCAATAAAAAGTGTACGCTTCTATCTCAACTTTTCATCTCTGACAATATTTTTCGATTCCAAACGAAAGAAGCCAAATCGAAAATATTGTAACAGCCTCGTTTTCATCTACAGTCATGTTGTTTAAGAAAAATTAGACTCGGCGGGAAAAAGACAAGAAAAGACGAAACAAAAAATTCTTCTAAAAACATATTTAGACAGATTTAAACGTGATTTTATTTATTCCTGGCAATATCAATAAAATAAAAATTTAAAAATTACCGCAACTAATTTTAAACATATTCTAAATCAATATTTTCAGAATTTATGGATAATTTGGGATTATTCTTTCACGTTTTCTTATACAATTTTTTTTAAAAAAATGTTAAAAACAATGTAACATTTTTTTTAAGTTGCCTATATATGTGCCTATATAGCGATGTAATTCTGAGAGAATTAGAAGTCCTACCAGGATTCATTATTGGCGTCCACACTCTTAACAACATAAGATATGCAGATGACACAGTGCTGATAGTAGACATGGAAAGGAAACTACAAAAACTCTCAGAGAAGGTAGCGAAGGGAAGCCGGAATTACAAATCGGGGATGCCAAAATCAGACAAATACAGACATTTAAATATATGGAAAGTCTTCTAACAGAGGGATTCAAAGACGCATTGGAATGACCAAAGATGCCTTTCAAAAGCTAAGTAGAGTATTAAGAGACAGAAAAAAATTCGTTAGAATCAAAGAAAAGTACTGAACTGTTAAGTGATATCTGTCCTCCTATATAGAAGCGGATGCTGGGCAATCTCATCAAAGATGAAGAAGGAACTTGGAACAACAGAAATGTGGTTCTACAGAAAGATGCTGAGGATACCATGGAACGAACATGTGAGCAGCGAAGAGGTTTGGGAGACAATAGAAACAAAGAGGAAACATACTTAATATCAGGCACAAGCAGTTGAAGTTTCTGAGGCACGTAAAGAGGAAGGAGTGCTTGGAAAATCTGATACTCACAGGACAGATTGAGGGAAAAAGTGACAGAGAAAAGCAGCGCGTAACATAGATGGGCCTGAGTAAATGGATGACAGAACAGGGTTTAGGAGAAATAGCAAAAAGAAAACTTATGATGAGATACAAGGGAGAGAGACATGTGGAAGGCCATGATCGCCCACGCCCTGAATGGTCACGGTACATAAAAAAGAAGAAGAAAATATATATAAATATATAATTCGTAATCTGGAGTGTTGAATCGATAGTAATATATGATATCAAGTTCAGATTACGAATTTCTTTCTTTTTTTTTTTAAATTTTGAGAAACTATGAGCATATTTTGTTTATGCTTCCGTCGGTGGGAATGAATTCCCAATGAATTTGCTTGGCAAACTGGAGTCTTCCGACCGCTATGAACGTTTATGAAATTTGATAATTTTCTTTTTTTTTCTTTTTTTTTTATATTCGTGATCTGCAATGGTAAAAAAAAATATTTCTGGTCGCATTGCCTCTTGCACAACTTCCCCAAGTTAGCACACACCACAGGTGCCAGATATTTCAGTTGCGTTTCATATTGGCATCATCTAACCAGAATCTAACTTGAAAGTGCAGGAATCATTTATGTATTTGTTTTTGGGTGGGTGTGGATGGCTTCTTCAGAATGCCAGGGGGTGCGCACGCGCGTGCTTACGTGCGTGCTTACGTGCGTATGTGCGTGCGGGTGTGAAAGATATATATATATATATATATATATATATATAGAGAGAGAGAGAGAGAGAGAGAGAGAGAGAGAGAGAGAGAGAAGTCTTTATTGTAAAAGGAAAAGATGACAAAAATAAATAAACATAAGAGTAACTCTAACGAAAGAAAATTGCACCAAATATCAGTTTCGAATGTCAAATTTAGTGGCGCGTCAGTAAGGGGGGGGGAATTAGACGAAGTCGTCATGAGAAAAAAAAATATCATGCGAAGAATGTCTGTCAAGTACTTGATTTATTGCTGATAGAAATTGTGTATATAAGTACGAGTCGTTAAGTAGATAATTCAGATCAGGTGGGAACTTACAGTTAATTCAATGTATTCGAGAACGTAGTTTCACCACAGAAGGTTTTAATAGTATGTTCCAAAATACACGTGGTTGAATGACGGAAAGGTACATCATCAGGTCACGTGATTTAAATACAGAATTCTGTAAGTCTGTCTACGGAACGTACATAAAGTGACTAATCCAGCTGGGTAGTCATTTAAGAACAAATATGCCTGGAAAAAGTTATGAATACCACTCCTCTCCCAGTTATGGGTTAAAAGTAAAATTTATATATGGAAAAATCATTTTTATTATTAAAAAAAATTGTTAAAACGACATATTCACTTAAAAAAAAAAAAAGAATTATTCTTAAAATCCAAAAATATATTTCGGCTTTAAGTAATCAACCAAGGCAGATAATCCGAAAATTGAAAGATTTGTTTTTTACGGCTTATCAACCTTTTCCAGGACATTTAAAGTCAGATAATATTTTAGATTGTAAGAATTTTTTAGAGTTAATAATAATTTACTGATACAAGTCCTACTAATTAACCCATAGCTGGTGGAGCAGAGGTGGATTCATACCTTTCCCAAGAGTATTTGCACGTAAGCTCACGATCACATCATGTTGACACCTGTTTCCGTAAGATCACAGAATTTAAGCCACGCCGAGGTTGGTGAGTGCCTAAATGGATGATCATTTATGAATACCAAATACTGTAAGTTTAGGTGTGTGGGTGGTGTAATGGATAACGGCTCAGAATTGTTAATCAGAGAGCCAAGTTCGAATTCCCATTGAGATCGTTATATTCAGTTACGCAAAAATCCCCTTGGAAAAGATAAGAATCCACTTTTAACCAAAGCTATGGATTAATTAGTAAGGCTTATATCACTAAAACGTTATTATCTTAAAGAAAGAACGAATACAATCTAAATATGTTTTCTGGCTTTAAATAACCTGAAAAGGGTTGATAAGCCGTAGAAAACGAATCAGTAAAACTGTGCGTGATAGAATGTAACGAACCCGATTGGAATTGGAACTCGGCTATCCAATTTTCAATTTCGATCAGTTTTCCGTTACACCGCCCACACATCCAAGCTTACGGCACCTGATATTCCCAAGCAATCACCCATGTAAGGTACAAGGCTCGACGTTGCTAAAATTAGGTGAATCGTATAAGAACCGGATAAATCTTAAAAAAAATCAATCAGTTGGAATTCAGAATTTTCATTCTTTTAGACGAGTTGTCCATGCTCCGTAAAGAGGGCTTGGAAAATCTGATACTCACAAGGACAGATTGAATATAAGATGGGCATAAACTCGTTAGTTTGTTTAAATGGATGTTGGAACATGTTTTGGGAGTCACAGCAAAAAGACAAAATTTATTAAGAGCTACAAAGGACAGGAAATTGTGGAGAGCCATGATTACCTATATTGTTAAGGAACACGGCACATAGAAGAAGAATAGGGAGATTGTTATGGTTGCGTTTACGACTTTGTTGTTATCTCTTTTTTCCGTCGGATATCGATGACAGTTCACCAAGTATCATAAGAAATCCTGCAAATGTTTTATGCTCTCTGCTTCCAATTATGTCTTAATCATAGTTTTACAACCTGGATTTACTCTCTCCCACACGAATATTATGCATTGTAGCGACACCAATCCCTTTCTCATTAGCAAAAAATATTTACCTGGGAGCGTATTGTATACGCATAGCAAAGCCGGAACAGATGGGAAACTCATTTTGTGTTTGAAGTGTATTTATTGCATGTGGTTGGATATGTCTTACAAATAGGACAGTTATTTTAAGTAGTTGCTGTAAGAGTTGACTGAAAATGGCTTCTTCTTCGAAACGTTGTCAGTTCGACACCGGTGACACCATAACAGCCACTGAAGCTGCTGCAGAGACGCACAGGTGGCAGTGTTTCCCTCACCCCCTTTACAAGCGAAAAGAGCGCTAAAGGAAGGACACAGAAGAAGCGGCTGGTATTGGTTTGCATCTTGTCAGATATTAAGAGCTTCGCGAAATGTGCACATGCCAAAGATCTGGCAATACTTTTCAGGGTCAACAACTGAATAAGCCGACATAGGAGAGACACGCACACAGAGGCAGAAAGTGTGTGTGTGTGTGTGTGTGTGAGAGAGAGAGAGAGAGAGAGAGAGAGGAGGTGTACGTGTTTGTGTGAAAGAGAGTGAGAGACGGATACGTACAAAGGCATTTAGAAGCAAAGAAAGAAAGAGAGAAAGAGAGAAAGAGAAAGAGACGCACTTAATGGCAGATAGGGGCACACCCTTACGCACCCGAGAGAGCGAGAGAGAGGGAGAGAGACAGTGTGCGCATGTGTGTAGGGGTGGGGCGGATACATATAAACGCATTTAGAAGCAAAGAAAGTGAGAGAAAGAAACGCACTCTGTGGCAGACAGAGGCACAGCCATTCGCACCCTAGGGGGAGAGAGAGAAAGAGAGAGAGAGAGAGAGAGAGAGAGAGAGAGAAAGTGTGTGTGTATGCGTGTGTGAAAGACGGATACATATACACGCATTTCGAAGGAAAGAAAGAGAGAGAAAGAAACGCACTCTGTGACAGATAAAGACACACCCATACGCACAGTAGAGAGCGACAGAAGAGATATGCATATATATATATATATATATATATATATATATGAGGCAGAAAGAGAAACATATACAGAGAGATGCACTCGGAAAGCTAAGAAAAGAGAGAGGATTACATATATAAACTTAAAATGGGAGGGACTGATGTGCAGAGAGAGAGAGAGAGAGAGAGAGACATACAGACAGGCGCACTTATACGCGAGACTGCCAAACGGAGAGAGACGCATTTAATAGCAGAGAGGGGTAAAAATAAATTCGTACTCAGATCAAGAGAGAGAGGTGCCTAGACACGGAGGCAGAAAGAGAGGGAGAGAGAACCGTATAGACAAATTAACTTAGACGCACAGAGAGAGGGGGGAAAAGAGATGCCGTCAGGGGAAGAGACACACTGATATGCACTCAGAGAGACAGAGAAAGAGAAAGAAATGTATATAGACGCACACACTGGCAGATAGAGAGAGTAAAGGATAGAAATCGCATACAGACGATTTAGAAGCAAAGAGAGAGAGAGAGAGTGTGAGAGAGAGACGCAGTAAGAGACAGAGAGTGACACAGAGGTATGCACTCAAATGTGAGAAAAGGAGATATGTAGAAAATAAGCAAGTCACATATATATATATATATATATATATATATATATATATATAGAGAGAGAGAGAGAGAGAGTGGGGGTGTAGTTAGTAGAGAGAAAGAATTTTTTTTCATGCGCAGAGATATAAATACCGATACATACAGAGAGAAGAGAGAGAGAGAGAGAGAGAGAGACGTATAAAGACAGACGCACTTAGAAGAAGTAAAGAAAGAGATAGAGTCGGAGGCAGAGAAATCTACAGGTCTTCGGAAAGAGATATATACTCAGAAGCAGAGAGTGGGAGAGAGAGATAAGCGCATAGACAGACAAACTCAGACGCAAAGATTAAGAGGGAGACGGACGGGAAGAGAGAAAGTTATGCACAGAGTAGACAAACATAAGCAGAAGAAAATAATGAGAGAGAGGCAGACAAAGAGAGAGAGAGAGGCAGACAAAGAGAGAGAGAGAGAGAGACAGACAAATAGAAAGAAAGAGAGAGAAAGAGAGAGAGGCAGACAAATAGATAGAAAGAGAGAGAGAGAAAGAGAGAGAGGCAGACAATTAGAGAGAAAGAGAGAGAGGGGCAGACAAATATATATATAGAGAGAGAGAGAGAGAAAGAGAGAGGCAGACAAATAGAGAGAAAGAGAGAAAGAGAGAGAGAGAGATGCGGCGTACTGATTTGCTATGTACTGAGCTACATGAAAATGAACACTGGAAAATCATTTTCTAGCAAAGATTACGTCATTTTAAATTCTACGACCATTAAGTTAATACTTAATGGCCGTAGAATCGAAAGTAAAACCCATCCTTCCAATAAGATTCGCATTTTGTATCTTCGGGAGTCTTACTATGAAAGCAGCTTATCCATTGGCCCACGAATAGGCGGGGGACAACTGATTCTTATCGATAAATTAACCTCTTCGCTCTCTATAACACAATCAAAGAAAAGAGTGCTGAACTTCTATGTAATATCTAATCTCCGACACAGAATTGAATTCTGGATAATCTCACAGATATCTGTGAAACATCAGGTTTTCTCAAAGAGGAAGAAGAGACTTCAAGTGACAGAGATGTTATTCTACTGAAAAATATACTTAGAAACAAAGAAAAGCGTGCTGAACTGTTATGTAATATCGAATCTCCTCATATATGGCAATGGATGCTGGACACTTTCACAGATGAAAAGGAGGCTTGATACGACAGAGATGTCAACAGAACATAAAAATAGGAAAACTAAGATGAGGTTTTAAGGAGAATAAAAACTAGGACAAAAAAAAAAGAAACTGCTGAAAATATTTGGATACATAAGAAAGAAGGCTTGGAGAATTAAACACTCACAGGACATACTGAATGCAAGAGAAGCAAATCGAGTAAACTACTTGACAAGCTTGAGTAAATCTTCAATTAGTTGTTAACTGGGACAAGAAATGGCTTGGAAATATTAACATCTTCAAAAAGAAAAAATCTTTTATTCAGCCGAGAGACACTTTTTTGCCTTCCATCGATATGGCTGATGCTAACCTTCAGGATAACAATTAATGTACAAGGTGTTACAGAGAGTGATAGCAAGAGTAAAATGAGGTGTTTGAGGAAAGAATATAGACAAGGACGTGGATTGGAATCTAGGCATGAGAAGATGTCGATTCACATTACATTTAAATATTTGAAGATTATAGTTATCAAGGAAGCAAGTAGGAGGAAGAGAGTTCCACTGTCGAGAAGTGGAGCTCCTGCTGGAGTAGAAGAGACGGTAACATTTAATTGTTTCGACAGTGAAAGGGTAACACCGAAATGCCAACCTAAATTCATGCAGTTGGGGTACCAATGAAAGTAGCTCGTCAGAGCAGTTGCTATGAAAAGATTTGTAGAAAAGACAGAGGGAAGCCACGTCACGTCTGTGAGAAAGTGACTTTAGATGAGATGTCAGATCAGGACCTCTAACATTGCATATCCGTCTCTGGATTTTGTCGAGGACCTCGAGATGAACAGCGAGGGCACAAGACCATATATGGCAACAGTATTCAATGCAAGGACAAATGGTAGATTTATAGATTTGAAGGATGAACTCAGACAAGTAAAACATTCTGGCGCAACACATAAAACCAGCTTTCCTTGCGGTAGATGAAGCTATAGATTCCATGTAATTCTTCCACTTCAGGTCAATGGAAAGCGTGAGGCCAAGCAGGGTCAGAGAGGCGCTCTCGTGGAGTTGGACATCAGCCACTCTGATATGAGACAGGGAAGGTTCTCTATGTTGGGTAAATGAGAGCAATTTCGTTTTGGAGACATTAAAGTTTACAAGCCATTTCTTGCCCCAGTCAACTATGGATTGGAGGTCCTTTTCGAAACCGACGGCCAGGTTAGTCTATATTTCTGAGATGAGGTATTATGTACATTATTTACAGTATTCAGACTATTTTCCTCATCTTTGTCGCCATATTTATTACAACGTTTCCGGCCTTCTTAAGGTGTTTGGAATGTCGAACTTAACCCTTTATTTCGCTTTCATGGCACAGTGGATAAAGGCGTTAGTTAGATCCAGTGACAGAACCCAAAGAGTGTGAGTTCAATACCCGGTTAAGACAGTGGAGAACTTTCAGAGGGAAATTAACAGGAGATAACTAATAACTGACATCCATTAAACATGACACGTGGAACTAGAACAGTCTACCCCAGTGCCGATTATTATTACCATGGCGACGAGAATAGTCTACGTTCCATTGAACAATGATTTGTGTCGTAATGTCATTAAAAAAGGTGAAATTAATTTTAGTTTAGTACAATTTTGATTGTATCAATCAGACTTTAAATTTCTCTATTCAACAGCAGGAACTGTTAAAATGCATAGCACATGTAACTCGGTGATAAAATAATGACATAATCAAGATGTTGACATTCCACACCACTTCAAACAAAAGTTTAGACAGGAAACTTCCATCAATAATGAAAAGATCAATAACAGTTAGTGGACTTGAAAGGCATATTTGATTTAAAATGTGCCTTCTTCAATTCTCCCCATTTTCTTGGAATTTGTTTTAAAAAAGGGATTTTTATAAATTTCCACCGACAACAGTACTGCCTGCTCGATCAAGGAATACTAAATGTTTCCTTATAAGGAAATGACTAATAATACTATTACTGCTATCAAAAAGTCATTATTTTATTTCACGCGAATCTTTCATTTCCGAGATGAAAAGACTTTAAAAAAAAAAGGAAAAAAATACTGCCTTTATTCGTGGTTTGCAGTCAAATTCTATTCAACCTAAAGCTTTCTAACAATTCTCATTAATTCGATAATACGACCTTCAGCGATGTTTCCCCAAGTACAGATATACTTTAAAAGATGCAACCTAAATTAATGTAAGTCTATTTTTTTAAAATTGTTTCCAATTTCAAATCATCCTTATTATTTCGAGTAAGGCCTGTTCTCGAGCGAAAACATCAATTGATACAATTAGATCGTGTTGTGTGTGAGAGGCAACTGCAGTTTGATGTAACAGAGAGTCGTACATATATCATTATATTACTAAGTGTAGCTAAGTTTGGCACAAGGCCACAAGTATAGAGAACCAAAGGAAGATCAAACTTACAACATGGTATTAACGGACAAGACCAGCTCTCTAACGACACACACACATACACAGATACATATATTTCTTTATTATATACTGTTACATTAGAACATGTAAGTAATTACTACAAAATTGTACATTTTGTTTCGACAATTAAATAAAACGTCTCTTCAGGTAATTAACAATGATAATAGTTAATTACCTGAAGAGATGCTTTATTTAAACGTCGAAACAAAATGTACAATTAAGTAATTACTTGCATGTTCTAATGTAACAGTGTATAATAAATATTTATTGCTCTAATCTTGTATTGAACCCTGTTTTAAATGAATGTTTTGAACGCTGTAATTTTATCCTTCCTTCTTTTACACGTGCGGCTTCCTTATAAACAAAATTGTTCATAACCATTTTGGTTCTCAACAGTCGACGTGCAACTGAATGCATTGAAACGAAGTTGCATCTTTGTAGTGAGTAAACTGGTTTTGTCTGTAATACAGAAAAAAAATTATAATAAAGAATTATTGCTCTACTATCGGTATTGAGCCCTCTTTTGAATTAATGCTGTGAACGTTAGAATTTATGTATTAGTCTCGTTCTCATTGCATCGATATATATATATATATATATATATATATATATATATATATATATATATATATATATATATATATATTATAGACAGCTATTCACGAACAATACCAAAATACTAGCAAAATCAAATAGTAAAAATGGACTTATGACCCTTAAAGCGATACACATATAACAAAAACAACTGTCAATTAATAAAAAATATAAATTAAGAGCCCTTAAATGTATAAAACATACACACGCAAACACACACACACATACGTAACACCTCGCTTACGTCACAACACGCTTGCCTACGTCACAACAATCACTAGTTCTATGAAACTCACCAATTTCCTCTACCTGATGATGACTTTAGAAAGTCGAAAGCTTGCACCATATTTCTTGTACTTTTCTCCTGCAACTAATTTCGGAGAATTTCTGATGGAATTTCATCCTTGTCTGAGAAGGATTATTCTAATTTGGAAAAGTCGGCCATTAAAATTAATCGAAACAAAATATCTGTTGTCTTTAATAATATCTGCTTTAAATTTATAATAATATAAATCAAGGCCATTTTCAAAAATATATTAAATAACTACGAGAATATAACGTATTTAAAAATATTTTTCAGCGGAAGTTTTTGTCAAAAATTTGTTTAGTACATAATTAGAGCGACAATAGTCAAATGACTTAGATCATGACCGTCTCCAGACTTTCGCGTAAGCCCGCTCATCAAGGACTGAGCATCTGATAAACCTATTGAACTATTAGCAAATATTATATAAAACAGAAAAAAAATCACTGATCATCAACGCGAAAATTCAAATTTTAAATACGCAGTCTTCCAGAGTTTATGAAGAATATTCGAGATTTTTATTTGTTTTTATTTTTTATTTGTTTTTATTTTTCTTATTTTTATTTTTCTTATTTTTATTTTACTTATTTAATTTCATTTTTTATTTCATCGTTTCAAAATATGAAACATCAACGATAACCGAATTCAGGAATTTGTCTATGTGAAAAAATGGCTACCCAAAATCAGTATTGTAATGACCAAGCCTCGTAATACAGATTTTTGGCACTTAGTTAGAACAAGAACTTTTCAGCACCGCCGTGTTTCTTTGTGTGTGTGTGTTTGTGTGTGTGTGTTTGTGTGTGTGTATTTGCGGATGTGTCTTTCTCTGTGCAACACTGGTTGTAGTAGTCGTGGGTAGACATCTTAGATTGTTTAAGTATAGATTTTATAACAATTAGTGTAATATAGTCTGTTTGACTTATGTATATAGATGGTAAAATATTTATCAGAATTCCCTCGAAATATTTCCTGCTAAAAGAATTATGTCCCTGTTTAATCAGTTATAAAAATCAAACTTATAGCAGTTTTGTTCCTCTGTATTACGAGCGTATAACCCTTTAAACGCGCTTGTAATTCATAGAAACAAAATTGGCCATAATTTTGATTTTATAAATACCACCCTAAAGAACACACTTCTTTACGCAGGAAATAACTCATAACAGTAAAATACATTAGTATATATATATATATATATATATATATATATATATATATATACTAATGTATTTTACTGTTATGCATTATTTATATAAACAGGAATATTTAAGTATATGCACTGTTTATAATAAACAGTATTAACAACATTTAACAACATTTGCCGGCCTGAATGTCCGAGAAATATATTAAAATAATTGTCGGATTTAGTCCATT